GCACCACTAGGGCTGGGCGGGCTGTAGGGGGCCTTTAATTTTAATCATGGATTTGGGGGGTTTTATCAGAGAATTTGCAATTTTTTTATCCAGGAAAACGAAGATCCCTGGTTATAACCAAGTGAATGCAATTACTGAAGTTGTTTGACATAAGTGAGGTCATCCCGTGTATTGGAATTATTCACCTAATGTTGCAATTGTAAATTTTATTCAAATATTGGTTTTATTATTAACTATTGTTATTATATATATTTTTCTGCTGCTGCTTAATCATTTCTTTGTTGTATATAGTTGTACATAATAAAGAAACCCGTGCATTCATTGAGTTCAGAGTAAATTCCTGGGCAGTGAGGGTAAGGCACACACCTCTACATGGGACACTTCGGTCTGCAGATCTGCCTGAGGGGTTCCCAGGGCTACTGGCACCCTGAGGATCCAAAATCCAGCACATCACCCAGCCTAGTGCTCTGGCATGGGTTACACAAATCCACAAAGACCAGACAAGATGCTACCTTGGTAAACAAGAAGATACAATTGGAGTGGTGTGGGGGAGATATAGCAGTAGTTAATATTGAAAAGCATGGAATTAAAAATGGAATTGGTTTAGAATTCCATGATTTTGAATGAAAAAGGAAAGAGATTTCTAATGGGATGGATGAACTAGAATCTGCTGGTAGGTGAGGTCGAGTGGGACTACGTAGAGACAGCTCCTTGCAGAATTAAGCACTGTGAATTTTTATTGAGAACACTTTGCCAACTGTAATGCAATGTCCTTAGGCTTTACCCACATACAAATCTAAGGCACTGTCATTGTTACATTCTTCTATGCACAAAAAATGGTTACTTTCTGATTGAAAGGTTTCATTTTGGATTAAGAAAACAAGATAAAAGAGGAACAAAAGTAATGTCTCTATTTGGTGTATTCCCAACCTGTGTAACAGTCTGCACTGAACAGATCACAAAATGGCTGGCTTTTTCAGCAGAATAAGGAGCTTTCACAGATAAGAAGGTACAATAATACATACTACTGGAACACTACAGTATACGGATAAACTACACTCATTTATCTCTGTTGATGTATCTTAATTTATATTTTATTGTAGATTCTTTCACAGGACTGATAAACATAATGACTGATATTATCTGGCGCTTCACTGGTGATTTCATGGCCCCTGATTTTGTTTGCCGAGTCATTCGCTATTTGCAGGTACAGAAACTATTCAATATCTAATACACCTACACACCAAAACACAGATAAGAGCTCACAGTTTTGTAACCTCATGTGTGGTAATAGCAGTTCCTCATTAAATTGCTATTTAGGACAAAAACACTCCATTTAAGAGTGATTTATATTCAGGAAATATTTTCAAAGGCAAAAAATTGCAATAAGCCTGCTAATTCCCATTAATGTTCACTGAGAATTAGGTATCTAACATTTGTGTTTTTGAAAAATCCTTTTATGCCTTTTTCCTCTTCCAAAAAATTGGTTGTGTCTTCTTTCTAAACATAGAAGGCCAGAATTTGATTTCACAATATGTGGGGTAAAGTGACTGTAACCTCACAGAACGCATTTAGTTACTTCACGTTCATATCATTGTAATTGGGAGCTAAATTTGGCCTTGCTATTTGAAAATAATGAGTCATGATTCAAAATACTTGTGAATGTGTGCAACAGACTCAAAATAATAATACTTTTATGCAGTACTTGATTCACTCTTGAGATCTGATATTGAAGGCATTTCATAAAACTACTGTTTTAAACCTTAGATGCCTATTTCATAGTTAAAGGGCCAAGCCAATCACAACCAACTCTGAAACAGTCAAGCTCCCCACATACTATAGGGTAGGGAAAATTGTAACTGAGCTATGAGGATACACATTCTCATTTGGTACTGTTTTCAGATTCATTTAACTAAAGGCAATGAATACCACGGAAAGGCATATCATATACCAAATGAAATCTTTGGCTGCCTTAGGGAAAGATTCTACCTCAGTTACATTCAATAGTACCTTATTGAGAAAGTAGACCCACTGATTGTTTTCAGTGTGGCTACTCATGGAATAAGGTACACTATGAACAGTAGCAAACTCTTGTCGTAAGTATTGGTAAGCAAATAGTTAGGTTTTCAAATGTCACATATTGAGACTATCATGGTTTAAAGCGCTTTCTAAAAAAATGCTATTTTCTCTTATTTCTTCAGGTTGTCCTTCTCTATGCTTCTACGTATGTCCTGGTATCACTTAGCATAGACCGATACCATGCCATAGTTTATCCAATGAAGTTCTTGCAAGGAGGTAGGAGAATTTTTGTACCTCACTGTTGTTAGAAATGATGTTGTTTTAACAGCTTTATTTCACTAAACAATTTTTTAGTGACAGGAGCAGTCTGGTTGCTATTGATCCTTTAATAATGTTAATTAATGTTATTAAAGTGGGGAAATGAAGTCCAATCATAAGCACTGGGTGAGGTTCACTGGTATGTCACTGCATGAAATTATTTGGGTAAAGGAGTTGGGGAATTTAACTATTTTTAAAGTGACCGTTCAAAGTGGTGATGATAAAGTTTTTTAATTTCACTTATTATATTAGTATCAATGCAAAGTTTTTTAATTTCACTTATTATATTAATATCAGTGCAAACAGAAAGATGCAATTCCTTCTTGAAGGAGCTTATAGCTTAATGCCAACCATGATGTACTGGGGTCAGTAAATCCAGAGATGATGTTCTGAGGAGAACAAGAATTACCCCAGTTGTTGCTGTCAAGAAAATATACTCTAGTAAAACATAAATTATTACCCACATTACAGGAACAATGAAACTCTACAGCCTGTCTCAGTTTAATAGCCCCCTTTTGGCCTTAACATCCTTTAATCAATCAGAACAAGTAGCTCTGTACTTAAGGCATGTGGATCAGTATGTGTAGTTTTTGGTAACATTTCCCATAATTAGGTCAACTTTTCCAGAACTGAGTGACTAAAATGAAACTTTTCCTTTCAAAAATGCCAAGCAATTCCCATTGATGTCAGAGTATGCTCACAAGACACTCAAAATTCTTACCATGGATTTAGGTGCCTAATATGAAGCAGATTAATTTTGCCACTGTAGGTTCTTCATGTGTAAAATAAGAAAAATAGTTCTTATTCCGTTACCTCTGGGGAAGAGGCGTTTAACAGTGAGGAACCAATTTAATTAATCTTTTTAAGGCACTTTGAAGACATGAAAAGCTCTACCAGTGCCTCATAGTATTATAGAAAATTTTGTTAAGGTTAAAGAATTAATCCCATATCATAAATTTCCTTGCACAAGGAGGGAGAAGTATTTTGTGTCATACAAATGCACCTCTGACAGGCTAAATCAAATTATCTCTTCTTTTCATATAATATCTCAAATGCCATGAGGCCCATGTTTTTCATCCCTTGCTAAGGTATCTGGTAAAGACAAAACAAACAAACAAGCACAAAACCTAAAAGAGAGAAGAAAACAAAAATGAAAGATTTATTAGAAAGAAATTGCTACCCCCCGACCTGTTTGGCAATGTCAGGAGCCAGGTTTAACTTGAAGTAATTCCTTAGATCTCTGTCAAGTAGCAAACTCTAATGATCTTTTTTAAAAAGAGAAAAACACCGGCCTTGTCCAACTGCATGGCTAATTGAAAATTCCCATAGGCATCACTTTGGAATAGGGTGGCCATCATAGAGGATATTCTGGTTTTCTGCTACTCTGTCCTCTGTCTGCTGTTGATACAAAACCGGACGCCTTTATGTCCTATTTTTTCCTCTTCCAGAAGAAGAGGAAAATAGAGGACATAAAGGTGTCCGGTTTTGTATCAATAGAGGAAAGAGGACACCTGGACTGTTCTCTATGATGGCCACCCTACTTTAGAATGTGATAGTAAACCTTGACCAAGGGAAGGCCAAATTACACTTTAACCTCACAGTGTTAAATTTTTACTTGATATCTGCAGTGGGGGGACACTGCCATTTCCCACATGCTTCAGAAGGAAAGTGGATAGAGCTGATCATCTAACAGAATGAAATACTAATGTTAGTAATCAGATCAATTTACTCCTGATAGTTACCGTTGATAGTTCAATTAAGTATTTTATATTCATTTTGCACAGGCACAAGTGACTATAGAAAGACCAAAGCAATAGTAAATCCTGTGTCCCAATGTCTACTCTTTGTTCTATACTTCTACACTTTATCTTCAAGAGGATACTGGATAGGCACCTGGCTGGGGTCTTATGACCCCTGCCAACCCCAGTGCTCCTTCCTGCCCATGGCAGGGGGTCGGACTAGATGAGCTGTCTAGGTCCCTTTCGACTCATTGATTCTATGATTCTAATTTAATAATCAAACTAATTATAAATAATAAAACATATAATAAAAAAAGCAGATTACTGAAGTTTTTTTTTATAATGTAAGGTCTTTACCAAATTTGCATAATTGATCCTCACAACAGCTTAGGTAAATCACATTCTTTTAGTTTATTGACGGAGACTATGAAGCAGAGAAGTCAGTGAAATGAAAAAATCCATAAAGAGAGACAGTAGCAGAGTTAGGACGGGGATGTATGGGTAGGCAGTTCCCAGTTGATGCTTAATGGGTGTGTCTACACAAGATGCTTTACTGCACAGTGGGCGTAGCTACACGAGACACTTTAGAGACACTTTACTGTGCAGTAGAGCTAATTACTGTGCAGTAAGCATCCATGCATGTCTACACGTGCAGATGCTTACTGTGCCGTAATTGGCTCTAATCATGAGAAAATTTGCTATCTGAAAATGCAAGTAGCAAATGTATTTGAGATTAGTAATTGCAAAGTAGTGTGTGTGTAGACACCTGACTGGGAGCAAATGTGTTTCTGGTCAGCCAGGCAGCTGGGGGCAGGAGATTGCTCCCTGCCCCCAGGAGCTGCCTGCTGCTGAGGTGGGCTTCACCACTAAATCCTGGGTGGGGACAATGTCCCTCTGCCCTGGCAGCAGGGAGCTCTCAGAACTCCACTCCATTCTGATTGTGGGGCCAGGGCTGGGAGATCCTAATCTCTCAGCTTGAGTCCATGTTCATTGGGCCAAGTCTGGGAAATCCTTATCTCCCAGTCTGAGCCCCATGGTCATGGGACTCAGGCTGAGGGATCCTTATCTTCCAGCCTGAGCACCACAGTCACAGGACCTGGGCTGGGAAATCCTTATCTCCCAGTGCCAGCTCCATGGTCGTGGGGCCCATGCTGGGAAATTCCTCTCTCTCAGCCTAAGCTCTGCAGTTGCAGGATCCGAACTGGGAGATCCTTCTCTCCCAGCAGCAGCTCTGCAGTCATAGGACAAGTGCTGAGAGAGAAAAGATTCTTCTCTCCCAGTGCCAGCTCAACAGTTGTGAAGCTGGCACTGGGAGAGAAGGATTTCCCAGCCTGGGTCCGGCAACTGCGGGGCTTGAGCTGGGAGATACGGATCTCCCAGCGCTGGCCCCACAACCATAGGGGTGGTGCTGGGAGATCAGGATCTCCCAGCCCCCACCACATGACCATGGAGCAGGGACCAGGAGCTGTCTGTTTCCAGGGCAGGGGGACATTGTCCTGGTCCGGGATTTGATGGCAGAATGCATCCTGGCAGGAGGCAGCTCCTGGGGTCAGGGGCATCTGTCTCCTGGCCCCTGGGCTAGCACCCAGGGGGAGCCTAGAGCTCCTCCTGGCTGCTGCAGGGGCTGGTTGCAGGGCAGCAGGGAATGGGAGCAGTCTGCTGCCAGGAGCAGCAAATCTGCTCCTGCATCCCTGCACATGTAGACACGTGCCTGGGAGTTTTTAATTCTCTAGTAGTTTACTTGAGAGTAAACTGCTTCCAGATCAAATGCATGTTTAGATGTGCCCAGTAAAGTGTCACTGTCTACATATGCACAACATTTATTGTACAGTAAATTAATCTACTGTGCAGCTAGCTACTGCCTGTAAGTACAGGTAGTAAATTAACTGTGCAGTAGATATTGTGTAGTAGCATGTGGTTAGATGCTGACTTGGAGCCAAATTTCTTCCTGGTCAGCCCCAACACCAGTGGGCCACAGGGGTGGGGAATTTCTCTGGTCCTCACACTGCTCAGGTCCCAGCTCCCCACAGGAGCCAGGAGCCTAGCAGCACTAGGATTTGGAAACTTTCTGCTTCCCCATACAGCCAGGGGCTGGTTGGAAGCTGTTCCACTTCTTGGGTAGCTCCCGACAAGTCCCAGGCTGGGTGGGGATTTTTCCATGCAGCTGGGTGCTGTACCATTTCTGGGGCAGCTCCTGGCCAGCCCTGGGTTCTTCAGGGAAATCTCTGCCCAGCCACAGGGTGGCCTGGAGCCACCCCAGAAGCAGGGTAACTCCTGGCCAGGCCCTAGTTGCTTAGAGAAATCTCTATCCAGCCAGCTGCAGACTGCTCAAGGGAATTGATGTGCATCCCAGGGCTGGCTGGCAGCTGCTCCACAACTGGGACAGCTCCCAGCCAGCCCTGGGCTGCTCAGGGAAATCCCCACCCACCTGTAGGTTGGCTGGGACCCGCCTCAGAAGCAGGACAGCTCTTGAACAATCCCCAGCTGCATGGGGAAGCCCTCTTGGGCATGGAGTTTGTTTTCATATGCACAGGGCTGGGAGAGCTCTGCAATGGCAGCTGTCTCCCAGCCGTGTGCACATCAGGATCCCTCCAGGTATGCATGGGGCCAAGAGAGAGGTACCACTGCAGCTGCCAGAGTGCTTCTGGCCTCATGCACATCAGAAGCTCTCCCTGGCTGCTGCAGGGGGGCCAGACCAGGGTAGGAGCAGCCAGGGTTCAAATTATGGGGGAGGTTGGGGGGGTGAACCCCCCGTAAGAGACAAGAGCCCTCCCATAAGAAAACACCCCTGCAGGCCGGTCAGCCCCCCGCCTGCCCTGAGCCTTCGAAGCAGCCCAGGTGGTGGTGTCAGCAGCGGCTCCTTCTGACTGCCACCGCCATAGACTCCCCCCAGAGCTGAAGTGTAATTCAAACCCTAGGAGCACCCTGTACCAAGCTGCCCCAGTTGGGAGCAGATTTTCTCACAACAAGGAGCATGTGTAGACATGCTCCCAGGGAAGGCTTACTGCATAGTATTTTACTGCTCAATAAGCCTTTATAGCATCAATAGCACATGTAGACATGCCCAATGTGAACTAAATGCTTTTTGTGGCCATCATATATAGCAAAGGCTCTCAATTTAAACTAATGTCATTTTTTTTGAGTTAGTTGATTAAAATGTCATGTTCAGAGACTGATGTTATAGGATTTTGTTTATCCCTTATAACAATATTACTGATCAGGTAGCTAAACAAAAGTAGTCACACAGTAACTCATTAACTAAACCAAAAAAGTTCAAGCCTCCCTTCAAACCATACCTCAGAGAAACACTTCATAAACAAGCCCTGCATTTTGCAGCAAAAGGACACAAATTCAGGATCTGTTGAAGCAATGGACCGGGAGAGAAAATTCCAGAGTATCACAGTAGAAAACTTCCTTAATGGATCAAAAAAAAGTAGTGAATCAAAATATTTGGAATTTTGCTTTAAACTTTTAATTACAAGACCTTAAAATGAAAAGAAAAATGAAGGAAACATCATGATTCCCCTGGAGTGAAATTCTTCACCCTACATCTGACATACCTTATGTTCTGATGCACTCCAGTTCATGAGTGGTCCCATTAATTTCTGTGGACCTACCTGAGAAGTAAGATATTATTTATAGCAAATAAGCAAAACAAAACTAGCCATAAATAATTAAATATTATGACAATTTTCTGGGTGGATATAAGGCACAATAATGGTAAAGGCTTAAACAAGGACAATGAGGTGTTATTTGCTAGAGGCAGGTTATGTACATCCTATTCCCAGCTCATTGATCTAACAAACATTGTAACAATACATGATTTGGGAGTTTGCCCAGTTGTACCAAAATGTGGTGGGGATTTTCCAAAATGAACATCCTTAATTTATTTGGGTGAAATGAGAAATAAAAATAAAATGTTTGAGGTAAAATTAAATGTTTAATTGGAGAGGTTTTAACTTTTGGAGGTCAAATTCATTTGATTTATAAGCAAAGCATGATTCAAAATAAAACATTTCAGAATTTCAGAATATTTTTTCTCTTTTTTGGCCAAAACAATTCAACGAATTAATTTAATGTTTGGGTGGCCTGAATTTGCATTTTTTTTCAGTGAACAAGAAACATTTTTCAGCCCAAGTATTTCACCCAGGTCTAATTATAACCACTAGGCAACTTTTGCATATCTTGTACAAATGATATTTCTCATATCCCTTACAATCAGCAGTGGAAAAGAACTTGCAGGTCATCTTATCCATTCTTCTGTTTCAGGTGTGTTTCTAGAGTATATTTTCCTGCAAATCAACCATTGTAATTTCAAATATTTCAAATGGGTCTGCACTTCATGGTCTACAAGAGCTCTCTATAAAAAATATTTCATGAGACTTGCAGTTTCCCTTCTGTTAATGTAATCTGTTGCCCCTTTGTGTTGTTTTCCACCATTCATTTCCCTACATGATGTTAATGCCACTATTTTAACCCCCATACTTTACCTGACTATTATGGAATTTCTCCAAGCAATTTAAATAAACAAGTTTCTCCAACACTGAACAAAAGAAGCTTTTTAAAATTATAAGGATAAATATTACAGCTGATATTTTATAAAGCATAAAATTACCTTTTGAGCACTGCTCTTATCTACTTTTATAGTGCTCTTTGGAAAGGATTGAGCTTTAAGTAGTATAGATGTGCACATTTTAAAGTGATTTCAAGGACAATATCTAGGTGTATAGAATCACATGCACTCAGCAGCATATTTGTGTGTGAGTATAAGTGAGATCTTCAACAGCTATGAATCAGTGCTGCTCTATTTACTAGCTGTTCCAATCTCTCCTAAAATATGTTCTGATATCTGTTTCTTGCCAAAGCCCAAAACGATTTTCATTAAAAACATGTAGGTGTGTTGAATCTGAGTCATTTTGCAGAAAGGTTTCTTTTTTCAGCGAACTTCTGGCATAATACAAACAGGTTCACTTCAGCACACTTCTTAGTTTCCTGCTAATTTTCATGGTGGGTTACTGGGGAGCTTGGTTTCCAGGGTTAAGTGTCCCCTCAGCTGTCTTTTCTCACTTGCAGCATGGAGGCTTCTTTTATTTTGTTACTAACATGCTATTGTTTCAACCCTGTCTTTGATATTGCCGTATGAGAGGGCACTGCTGGAGAGGTACTTGCCCAAGTAATTGCCCAGATCACCTTGGTTGGAGGTGGCTACTTTATCTAACTGAAATCTATGAACTCTCATATTCCTCAATTGTTGCACCTGACCTATATCTTTAGTCACAGTACTTCTAATTCAGCTGACTTCTACTACCCTAAAATAGCAGGTCAACATCATAAAGCAACTGGTTTTAATCCTAAAAACTAAGCTTCCTTCCATTGCAGTGGCAATAGACTGCAGGAAAGAATCCCAGTTTCCTCAACCCAAGGCCTTTTCTTCCATGCATGCCTATGAATTGATAAGACTCTCCAAAGAAACAACCTAGAAATGCCAATACATCTGTACTAATAACATTTGTTTGAATTTGTTGAACAGAAAGGCAGGCAAAAATTCTTATTGTGGTGGCCTGGAGCCTCTCTTTCCTGTTTTCGATTCCGACTCTGATTATATTTGGGAAGCGGCAACTATCTAACGGAGAAGTGCAGTGCTGGGCCCTTTGGCCAGATGACTCCTATTGGATACCTTACATGACAGTGGTTGCTTTTCTGGTATATTTCATTCCTTTGATTATCATCAGGTAAGAGTCCTGGAGGGTAACGATACTTGATGGGTACTTGGGTAGTAACAACTTGTCATTGTCACTTCAGTTTTTTAATTTACTACCCATTCATAAAGTTTAAGATAAAAGCTGCTTTGATATAAATTGGTACAGAGTAAGACTCTGTATTTCTTTGATTTGTTCATTTGTCTCATATACAGAACAGACCGATTACGCTGGGTGATTTCCATGCTGTTTTAATAGTAAAAAGTGTTAATCTGAACAAGAATAGAATCCACAAGTGGATGTCTCTCCCAAGCTGCAGACTTCACAGACCTCATTATACCATACTGTCACTCATTTGACATTTCATTAAAAAACCCCTCACACTTAATAAAAGAACAGGAACTTCATTTCCTTCATTAATGTGACCTTGATGCCACCTGAGTTCTCAAGCTTCAGCATATTAACAAACTGGTTCTTAGCAGCAATCAGGAAGTCATTTTACTTGATGGTACTATATAACTAGGTGCATAATAGGGAAAGAGATATATAGGTTTTGCAGTATCTTTCATCTAGAGATCTCAAAGCATCTTAAAAAAGCAAATGTATATTAACAGGACCAAAGAATACTTCCACCCACTTTTCACTGGGGGAAAGGAGTCACCAAAAAGTTAAATGTCTTGTCCAAAGTCAGGCAGAAATTCTTAAGCAGAAACTGGAATGGGGTACAGGTCACCAAATATCTCAAACTTTACAGAGGGGTGTGAAGAGAAAAACTTCATGGCTTTTTATGGTCTTCCATTAAACCATCTGTCAGTGGTCATTGCTAGACATTATACTGAACTACTTGAACCGTAAACCCATTTTTATTTAGCAAGAATAAATAGGAAGAATTCTGCTAGAAAATACATACTTTCTGGCCTTATATTAGAAACCAGTTCACCCCTGTTGAACACTGTATCTTTCATATGCTGTAAATCCCTTAAATAATTCTCCCTCATATGCATATTAATTCCCTAATGCAATGGTTATCATCCTTTTAAGGCTCAAGGAGCCCTTTCATAACTTTTGTCAATTAAGTGGCACCCCATTTCAAAAACTCACCTATTTATTACAGTGCTTACCTTCTTGCAAAAGATCAGGACAACGGGGGTGGGGAGTGGCCAAGCAGGGAGAGCTTATCTGCTTAGGTCCTCACACCTCCTTTAGCACCCTTCAAAGGATCGCATGGCACCCCAGGATGCTGCAATATCGTGGCTGAGAATTCCTACCTAATATATTAATACTACTAATTTTTCTCTGCAGGTAAATCAATGATTAAATTAACTGTATGGTGAATAGACATGGATGTTTATTTAGATGGTAAAGTTGTTCTTTACTAGCTGCTTAATTAATCACTGGCATCCATGCCACCAGGTGACAGCGGGCATGTTACATAAAATCTTACCATGCCCAACAAGTCCCTTCAAACATGCCACCTACTAAAGCAGAAGCATCCATGTAGCCCTGCACAGACAAAATGATGTTGCAGGAATAAAGGCACACAGCGGGGGTCCTGATCCTGCCCTGTGCAATGAGAAGAGTCTCAGACCCCAAATATATGTTTTACAGACTTATTCTTGTATCAAAAGTTTTATTTCTGATGAGCAATAGATGCCGTATAGTGAACAGTAACAAGAAAATCAGAGACAGGGTTTTTCTTTTCTCCCCTATCACTGCAGGACTCAGTGGGCAGTACTGCAGCAGTTCAAACTTAGATCATCATAGAGGCTACTTCTGGCCTTAAAAGCTCTGTATTTTTCAAAATGGAACCAGTGACTGGCTATTGCTCAACCAGCTACAAACATCAAATGATTCAATGAAGTTGGCATTTTATTCATACCATCTGGGATACAGAATAACCTATTTGTTACAGAAATAGATAGAATTTTCTGGTGTGTGAAATCTATGTATTTTGTTATATTGCTGTATTAGTTGTTTATCCCAGTTGGGAAACTAAGTGATAGTCTCAGGGGTGAATTACCAAGTATTGGAGCAATCTGTTGGAACTGGTGAATAGTTCAAAATAGGCTAGAAAATATTAAATCTAACAGAGTTTCTATTTCAAGGAAGGAAATGGATTTCAAGACAGATATAAAAGTCTGTAGAGTGAGGACAAATCTAAGGGCAAACTTAGCCAGTGAGGCAGTAGGCAGCAGCACTTTTGAACAATCTGCAACACTCAAATACACCATGGAGGCTGCCTCTTAAACTGGAAGCTGTGCATCTTTGATGTCCATAGAGTGCTTCAGACAAACTAGTTAACACTGATGAATGACAGCATTAAATAGCTCAGCCCATGCTAATTACACCCCTTGTGGTGTCACATACAAGTAGCTAGAATATTTCTGTTTAAACAGGCAGCCTCCCATGGATTATTTGAGGGTACTGCTGCTGGGCAAAGTTAATTTGTCATATAAAAAGCAATGTCACCTGTTGGCCTGGATGTTAGAAACTGATTAAATGACTAGACTAGTAAGAGAAAGATGTAGAGAGAAGAAGCAGCTTTCAGTTCTAGTAGAGGTTGGTCAAGGACTCAGAGAGTACATGGATTTGACTGGGAGCAGTTTACTCATGAATAAACTACTTGCGAGTAAACGTTCCTGGACAGGCATCTACATGTGCAGGGAAGCGGGAGCAGATTTGCCTTTCCAAGCAGCAAACTGATCCCACTTCTTGAGGCCCCCTGCATCAGGCCTCTGCTGCCACCAGAGGGAGCTGGAAGCTGGCCCTGCCCTCCAGCCTCCGCTACTTGGTGTGGGCAAGGTCACTGACGGAGAGGCCATCCTGGAGATGCGTGGCACCCTCCAGGATATGCTGGGGCACATGGTGCTCTGCATGCACAAGCCCCTGATGGTGGTGGTGGGGTTCTGCACCCTGAGGTTCCTCCAGTGCATTGGGGCCCTGGACAGGATCCACATCCCCACCATCTGCCCATCCCGTGGTGACCACCCTACTACAGCCAGTGGGGCTTCCACACCATCATGCTCCAGGCCATTGCCAACCACTGTGGCACCTTTATGAATGTGAGTGCCACCTGAGTGGGCAGTGCCCATAATGCCTGCATCTTCTGGAACCTCCACCCTGCCAGCCCTGGTGCAGAGTGGGCACTTTGAGCTGAGGGTGCCAGTCCTCCAACTGAGTGCCATGGTGATCCTACCCCTTCTCACTGGGGACTCTACCTACCCGCTCCTCCCCTGGCTCATGTGGCCCTACACCAGCCAGCTGGACCCCCACCAGGCCCACTATAACCAGTGCCTGGGCCAGACCCACACCCAGGTCATTGTCACAGCCTGCATGCTGCATAACATCTGTGAAGCCTCAGGGGAGCTCTTTCAGAAGGCCTGGGCAAAGGAAGCACAATGAGCAGAAGACACCTGGCAGTAGGAGTACCAGCTTCAGCAGCAGTGACAGCAGCAGACATCCCCCCGCCCCCAGCCAAGGCCCTAGGTGAAGCACACACCTGCCAGTTAGGGCAAAGCACCGGGTGCAAGAGGTGCTGGCCGACCTACCTGCTCCTGAACTCCCTGCTGCAGCCCACCTGGACAGCCACCCACAGACCCTCCCCACCACTGCCCATCCCCAGTGCCACACTCACTGTGGGCAGTTCTTTGAAAAATACTTTATTGCCCTCACACAGACCTCCCCTCCCCAACAAAAGACCCCTGCCCCCTCCACCACCAACTCCACCGACCAGCAATAAAATATCCTCTTCCCCATACAAACCATTTACAATTGTGTTTTCTCTCCTGGGGTGGGGGCGGGGAGCAGGGGTGTGGTGCCTAGGGGGCAGAGCCCAGGGACAGGTGGCCAGAATCTTGGCCTCTGGCTGTTCTCCCATGGTTATGCAAACTGTAGCAAGCCTGGCAGGCAGGGAGCTTGCCCAGGGGTGATGGCAGCTGCCAGTCTCCAGTGTGGGCAGCTCCCCCTCTGGCAGCCAGTGGCCAGGGACAGGGCCATTTTGCAGTCCTGGATCCTGCTCTGCAGCTGTGTGGGGCTGGGGCAAAAGGCAGGGCTGGGCCCAGCCCAGCCCAGGGGTGGGGCTGTGGCAGGGGCTCCCAGATGATGGAGATGGCACTGGACCTCCACCCAGGCCCACAAGAGGGCCTATTTCTGGGTAGTGGGCAGCTGCCAGGGGGTAGGCAGGGCAGTGGGTGGCACAAAGGCAATGGCCAGGATCAGGATGGTGTCCAGCACCCAGCAGTCCTCCTCCATCACCTCCACTGTCCTGGTAACAAGCACAACCTGCTGCTCCACGGCCTCCATATGATGCTTCTCCAGGGCCAGGATCTGTGCCTTAAACTCCCAGTCAGCCCGGTCCTGCACCTCCCAGTGCTGGTCCCATGCACCCTGGCAGTAGATGTCCTTGCCTACTCAGGCAAGGCTGGGTGAAGTTTTAGACCTAGGTACATCCTGAAACTTTTATCTTTGACAGACTCTAACTTTTATTTTTCTAATAACTTCTCTTTTTAAAGCTATTTCTGGTTCTCAGCTGCTTTGTGGAATATTTATTGTTGTCCTGTCTGAGAGGTAGCCCATTCCTTAGCCTTTGAGGGAAAGGAAAAGTTGAAGGAGGGTCCAAGACTAGGTGAAGTTCAGCTTCATGGTGAAAGGCTCAGATAAAGGAGTGAAACACTTTTTCAGAAGAAAAATTTTCTCTCGCAAGTCAAAGCGTTAACAATAGAATCTAATGTTGCGTACCTGACCTAGACAAGAGCAAGATTTCGTAACGTCTTTGAAAAGACAACAGCTAGGGAGCAGTCTGTACCTCTTCACTTTGTTTACTTCATTCTCTTCTGGTACAAACATCCCAAGAGGATTTCTTCTTTGCCTCTGGGCTTCATTATTTGTGGAAAAGCAGCCTTACTGTGATACCTTTCCTCACATAAATTAGAGGCATAGTGTATGGTCCTTGAAAGTAGAGCTGTATCTGTATGCCTTACAGACAGTTCAATTTGGGAAAAGTGCAATCAGTCTTGCTGGTCTCCACCACAGCT